CCAAAGTGCTTGCTCATAGGGGGTCATATGATTGTTGGGTTTTTCTCTGTATGTATTATTGTAGGGTCTACTTTACAATAAAAAGTGCCTTGAAAACAACAAACAAACTAGTAAGAAAGTATGCTAGTTGTTTATTTAAACTGCTATATTTCACTTTTTTGCATTCATTAATTTTGCTACATACTTGCTAAATTTAACATCTGTATAAGTTTAATTACTAGTCAGCCTTTAAACCAAAATTAAGCTTAGATTAACAAGAGCCCTCAGAACATCACTTAGTACTTAGTTTATATCAGAATAACTCTTATAGTGTTTTTGCACAGACTCTGCTTCAATCAGCATGACAGAGGCTCAGATATTTCAGATATATCAGTTCCAATACTGTCTCTGAATTTTTCAAAAAGCACTTACGATTGTTTGGACATTTGGCGCTGCTGACAAACCTTTTATTCCTCTCAGCACCCTTAGCCTGCACATTAAAAAGAGAAACTATAAAAACAGGACAGTGTCTCTGTGTGGCAGTTGCAGTCTTACCCATATAGGCAGAGCGTATACAGCTGGATCCTCGAAGATGGCAAGAGACAGATTGACCAGCATGAAGAAGTAGAGCAGTACCTTTAGGGCCCAATGATTATAGAGCATATACAGTCTGAAAATCCACACACAAAGTTGGATATTAGATCAACTCACACTCATTATTCAATCCAAACTGCATGCTGTAACTTAAAGTCCTCACATCCAAATGCATTTCACATTAGGGGGAAGTCATTTCACGTCCCTCATAGTTTGCCATAGCAGATTGACTAATAAACAGGAGAAAATATTATACATGAAAAATTATCCATTCAACAATGTTGATTTAAAGCTGTTATAAAGACTAATATGTATTTATTAAAAGTGAAATATAAAGTTATGACACCTTACAGTAAATATACAGAATAAAAAAATACCAACCAGTCAGCACAGGCAAAGAAAGTCATTGTAAACAGAGCTAAAAGAAACTGTTCTAGTCTGACATGCTCAAACTGCTGGTCAAAAATTAAGAGGAGACGGAGAGGAATGAAACATCTTCCAGGCTGAACAGATTAAATATACGTGTGTACAGAAACCAGCACAACAGAAATACAGCAGAGACAAACAAAATAATGTGCTGATGTGAAAGCCGCACCTGACAGCCTGAGGTGATGTGTCAAAGTAGACATTTCTGTTGTACTGGGCATCTGACACGTAGATGGCAGCCAAGTTAAAATCCTGAAACACACAGAAGGGTATTTAAAGCATTTAAATATTAGTCTCAATATAAGAAGATCTGCAAAATAAAAGGTATTTAACGCTGAAAAATTAACAAAAATTAAAACAAATCTACTATCTGATTGTTTTTCAGTTACGTATAGTTGTTTGTTTCCTTAATACTCACATTTCCTTTGTCTGTTAGTGGGTTGTTTTTTGGTTTTTCGGCCGGCTTGTGCGATACATATATAAATGGTATGAGATCAAGTGTAAACCATCATTATGGTATTATCCATAGGCACACTGGCTAAGGTACAGCATGAATTACAACAGCCTTACCTAAGCCATTTCTCTGTGTGAGATACAGCAGGCAGAATCAGTTTTGACCATGTGACAAACTGTTGCTATTGATAAGAAATTCTCACCAGAGAAACCATCCAATCCACACATGCAAAGAAACCAAAGCACAGATCCCGATAAATTATGTGTAATATAAGAAATGATACAGAAAACATACTGAACACACAAAGAAAGGGATGTACAAAAAGTCATGGAAAGTCATGACACCAGCTGAATAATATCAGTAAGCCGTCCTGCCACTTGCTTCAAATTGATGTTGGTTCATTCAAACTGATGGCCTATAAAAACATGTCTCATAAGAAACATGGGTAAAACCAATGAGGACTCTCAAGACCTTTGAAGCCTTATTGTTGCAAAACATACTGATAGCATTGGTTACAGAAGAATTTACAGAAGACACTACTGAAGGTTCTAGTGAACACTTTTGAAGCCAATAATCCGGAAGTTGAAAGAACATTATTTCACCATAAACTGGCCACGACAAGATGCTCACTGCAAGATTTCAGACAGAGAAACAAAGGCAAATGTTAGTATGCATGTTCAATACATTTTCCACTCTGTCATTTCTCATTATTACACATAATCTATGGTAATCTGTGGTTAGATTTCTTTACATGTGTAGACCGAACTGGTTGTTATTGGCATCTGGTGAGAATTTTACATCAAAAGCACCTTTAGAAATATATTTACTTAGAAAATTGGTGGCACGTCCAATACTTATTTCACCCACTGTAATTATCAGCAGCTTCACCTAAAGGTTGAGGAAATGAAAACAACTTGCAGAAGCACAGACTCAGGGTCAGCAGTGACCTGCTAGACAGAACCTCAGTGATGGATCCTTGGTTCAGGGCCAATATACATCCCAAGCACCAAAAGACTAGTGCACTTAAACACAAAACTGTGTTTGAGGTCAAGTCTATGCTGTCTGATTAATTGGTGACCACAGTGCATGAGCCTGAAGGCTAGCAAAGAATAGTGCAACTGGTAAGAATCACTGGCAAGCAGGTCCTGAGCTGTGACGAGAGAGTGTTAAGGTGATTTACAGTGATTTAATATAGAAGGTTCAAGCATTGAACCATCTGTCAAAAAATGGTCCGTGAAAAACAGGGGTCCCCTTTTTTTTGTTTTTAAACAGTCGTCCAAAGCTATCGAATAAAATCTATTTTATTTATCAATGATTCACTTAATGCACAATAAATTCATCTTTAACAGAGAACTAACTAGGGAAGTTGGAAGCTGTATATTAGAGATGGGTGCTTTATGGGGCTTAAAGGACAAGAGTCCAACAGTTTACTGCAGTCGTGGAATCATTTGCACGTTCTTCAGGCCATCCGCTGACAGAAAACCTGCACAATCACATTATAATCACTTGTAGTTGTACAGGAGCGTCCAGCTGTGTCATACCTCTTCGCTTTTTGCTGTATTCCCTGTGTTTGGATTTCCTTTTCTTGCAGACGCTTCGGGAATGTTTTCATTCTTCTCTGATTCAGACATCTCTCAACACGACCGACACAAAACGTCCCAAAATGTTTCTTCTAACTTTTTTAATGACTCTCGAAATGTCTCCAAACTTTCACTACCAGCTCCTCGGAGTTTCTAAGTGGTGAAAAAAAAGAAAAACATATATCCAAACTTAGTTTAAGTCGCACTTTTTGATGTAAACGTCACATCAAGCGTCATCCACTTCGCATTAGAGGATTTCTTTCCAGTGGCATAAAAATGACAACCGCTTGCCATCTATCTCAGCCTACTGATATCTGGTCAGAGCCGCTTCAAGTCTTGCTCTAATAAACCACGACTCTTGCTGACTTCACGGACCAGCGGAATGAATAAGGAGGAAAAAATACAGTGATGTGTAAAACAGGCGGATTACCATTAAACAAAGCAACAACAAACTATCTCATATTCCCTCATGACAAAGGTGCAGATAGCGTGTTACGTGTGTTACGTTCTAACCAGATTTAGAGTAGTTGACTAAATGCCTCAATGAAAATCAACAATAAATGCATAAAAGGTTAAAGATTTTTTTTAAAACTTTGAATAAATAAGTAAAAGGAAAAAGCCTATTTTCATAGCATTGTTGCTACATGTCATTGTTACATGTCCCTTTTTATTCTTGTCCAATTAGCCGCTACAATTTAATTTGTTCTATACTTATTCCTTTGTAGTGGTTTCTATAAAAGAATTATTTTTGGTGCTTTTTTCTTTTATGCCCACCGTGTTCACTGTTGAACTCGTATTATTATGAGGTTGTATTTTTCAGACATTACTCGGAGACAGTAAAAGCACCACGATGGTATCATGTGACTCAGCACGATAACGGAAACTGGGAGAGTCAGAGGCATTAAAATAGTGGGAAAATTAGGAGAATATACAGAAATACAAGTTTTTGCATTATTGTTAGGTCTTCATCCTACAATATAACGTGCCTTGATGCGACTGTTGTTGTCATTCGGCACTGTGTAAATGAAATTGAATTTACCCATTTAGCCCGTTTGCTCATGTTACATTTAGTGAACCACATAACAAAAATACTTGTCCATGGCATATTGAACTTACTTTGTAGCGCAAGATCCTGGTACTTTTGTGAAAGGGCAGTAAACACATAGAAAGTCGCCA